CAAGGTCCAATGAAAACGCGACACCTAGTATCTCTTTTGGCTTATAATTATCCTTTTGTCTCTCCACCATTAATCCATTTAGCAACCTCTAGTTATCTCTTAACATCCAATAAATTAAACCCAATATCCAAAACTTAACCTAACTGGCCAAATTTTACCGAACTTTTCGCACTAGCAGGTCCCACATCCGATATACGTTCTTAATTTCTCAAAAACTAACCGATACTAGAAAAATCATTTAAAACTATATTTACTAATAAAAATTATGTTTTAAAATTTTCGAATAAAGAAAATATGGAAAAACGTGCAATTCAAAGAAAATAAAACCTAGAAATTAGGAAAAATTACGGGTCCTCACACTCTAAAATAATATTTTAATCATTTGGACTGAATTTGTAAAGGATTAGTAGCCTCAGGGGAGGTCAGTGTAATTGTTCAAATCACAGGGGAGGTAAGTGTAAATGTCAGAAACCTCAGGGGAGGTTTTTGAAATTATCCCTTAGTTTTACTAGGCTCATCCAAGCAGCTGCAGAAAAGATTTCTTGTATATTTACCAGGCCATGTGATAATACAGAAGGTGTCTGACTGACTTTGATGGAACCAATGGACCCTAAAGCGGCTAATTTCTTAGATTATACGTTTAAAAAAAAAACAATCCGTCAAATGTACCTCTGACAGGGGGTGTTTCTCATTTTATAGCGGCCGTGCTGACTAGGCACGTCCGCATAATTAAAAATTCCACCGGAAACTTGTCTGCAAAAAATTCAGGGGAGCAGCAGGTGTCAGAGCGGACGTGCTGACTGGGCACGTCCGCAGCTGACTTCAGACAGAGCATGTGTCAGGCGCGGACGTGCGTTGCTTCTGATGTTTCTGTTGTGAAGTCCTTAATTTATTGTACTCCCATAACGAACTTAATTTGTGCCTAAATAAGCCAAGCATTTTAACAGTGATTAAAAAAAGGAAGGGTCTGATTTGACTGATTTTATTCCTACACCAATCTGCTTTTTGCCAAACTAAGTGGAGCACCATTAGGAAGGATAAACATTAGGAGCAAAGTTCTCTTGAACTGAAAAAGTTTGGTCTTTGGGATTATTTCTTCTTTTCTATAAATGAGTTCTTTTCTTATTTGTTTATTTTGCATGTAGTTCTTCATTGATTCTAAAGCTAAGCAAAAATTAGCTTCTGCCCACAAGAAGCCCTGTATTGGATATGAAGGGCACTGTATCCACACTACACTGTTGGTCGTTGACAGTTCATATGCTTCATGCTCGTTTAATAATACTCTGCTACAAGTGGAATGTTATCAATATTGTCCGTCATATTTCTAAGACTACTTATATTTCATTTGCAGTGCCTTAGAAAATTTAGGTTGGACAAAAAAATTGCATTGGGATACCAATCTCTAAGAGATGTTATTAATTAAGAGTTCATCTTAAAAAAAAAACGACTATAAATCATGACATTACTAAATGATAAATACAAGCGTGAGAATCTTAAAAACAAGGAGATGAATTATCTTTTAATTTGTTTCTATCATTTAGTCGCAATGTCACTTAGTATCGAATTTTTCATTAATTAAACAGCTAATATATCACTTGGCACTTTTATATGCATTGTGGAAGTTAATTATCTCTATGTATATGGCTCCTAAATTGTGGCATTATGAAAATTCTTCCTGGTTTAAGGAATGTGTCGGTCATTGTCCAATTGAAAGGTGGGCTTGGGCTCCTCCCCTTGGTTTTCCATCTTACATAACTGGTGGTGCCATGACACCATCAACAGGGACCGGGGAAAAATAAATATATATGTCGGCTGCACAGAAGTCCGCCACGTGTAATTTCCGATAAAGGAGGTTTCATCTGGTTGGGCAAATTGTGTCCAATACCGTGTGGGGCATTTGGAAGTAGAGCTAGCATTAATGGTGCCAGCAAATTAGATGCGAAAATCTCAACTCTTTTGCTGCAGAAGAGAATTGGCCTCAGGCCTTTATATAGGGGTTTAACGGTAAAAAAAAAAAGTCTATAACACTTACAATTTTTGAATTTATTCCCTTTTTTTTTTAAATGTAGAGATTATAAAGACCTCCTTTTAAGTTGATAAATTGGATGGCGATCTTTTTGTGACATTTACATTTACTCTCAACTTTTCATAGAATTCTCTTGGAAAATGGATGTTGACAAAGAATAATGATCGTAATTTTACACTTAACAAATATCAATTATTGAAAGGGGTGGTGGGCTCCTCGAATTAAATATCAAAGATAGAATGTACCCAAAAAGTTCAAGCTAATAAAGATATGGCATTCTTTCTTAATATTCTTTACTTCTTTTTAAAAGAATAAGAAGATGACATTTCATTGCTTTGACGTCAATCTCATTCCAGCAATATTAGGTATTGCCTATTTTAACGTCAGAGAAAAAGGCAATTAACCAAAAAGGAATTTGCAAATATGTAAGCAATTTTTTTAAAAAAAAAAATAGAGAGAGAGAGAGAGAATTATGACATGGTAATGTACCTTAAAGACTTTGAAAGATAATCAAAAGAGTTTTATATATCAAATTTCGAAAAAAACAAAGGTTAACTTTGCATGATTATTTTTTTCCTTTTTTGAGGCAGCTCTAAAAGAGTGTGTTGGACTGGTGTTGAAGTTGGAACTTGGAAAGAGCCAAATTGAAGTACGACTCAAAGTCAGCAGAACAGTCTCTTGAGGGGTCGTGTACATATGGACATGAAAAAAGTCTCTAATAATTGATCTTGTCTGGACAGGAAGAGATACTCTTGATAAGGAAAATCGGTCAAAACATCCGTCATATTTTATAAAATGATATTTTTTATTTCTCATTTTTTTAAAAGTATAATTTTACGTTTTTTACAAATTCACATTAATCAAATTTGATTCTTACCTAAGTTTTCAACTAATTTTTTTATCGAAATCCATCACGTGCATTGTTTAAGAGGAAAATTACACGTGATCATTTTTTAAGAGTAATATTGTCAAATCAAATTTTACATAATTCGATTCATAATCTCTCACATTTTATAAAATGAATTGTTTCGTCCCTCACATTTTACAAAATGAATTTTTTCATCCCTCATTGATTATGTTTACGAATAGTTTTTTCTTATCTATTTGATTTCACCTAAATAGTACGAATAGCATGTAATATATCTCTATTTGATTTCACGTAAACAGGCTAATCGTAGTTGCACACATGCTATTCAATAGATATATACAGGGGTTTAAAACTAACTATTTTATTTTAAACCCATGTATATATATATATATATATATGATTTCACCATATGAACCTATTCAATATTTCTGAGCTTTCTCTTTTGGTAATAATTTATTTATTGAGTTGTATAATAAGGCTATCTAATTAATGGATCCTAGCTCGAATTCTATAGTCATGCTAACAAATTGCAGTTTAAATCTGAAATTTCTACTCGTCACTTTTAAGGCCAACAGTTGAATTACTTACTTGTGATTGTCTTAAAATTTGAAAGTGCCAATTATATACTTCTTTTTGTCATACTTTTTCTTTATTTATTTTTTCTGTCCAAATTTAATTCGATATATACACTTGATAATGTTTAGGATTAAATGTCTTCTTTGTTTTCAATATTCGAGTAAAAGGAAATGAATATGAGTGAAAAACTAACAATTTTTTTAAACATATATATATCTATTTGATTTCACATGAACAGTACAAATAGCATGTAATATATCTCTATTTGATTTCGTTTGGCAAAATCAAATAGAGATATATTACAAATCAAATAGAAATATATTACATACTATTTGTACTGCTCAGGTAAAATTAAATAGATATATGCATGGGTTTAAAAAAAACTAGTCAAAAAACTAGGCACGTGAGGGATTCCGACAAAAAACTAGTCGAAAATTTAGGTAGAGACCAAATTTGACTAATATAAATTTGTAGGGGATGCAAAATTATACTTTTAAAAGTGAAGGATGAAAAGTCATTTTATAAAATGTGAGGGATGTTTTGAATTATTTCCTCTTTTGATAATGTCTCAATAATTGTTTTGATATTTCAATAGGATGCAATTCCACCACCGTGTTTGAGTTTTTTGAACAATGTTTTATCTGATATAGAATAGAATTCCAATTTTTCTCTCCTTTTGTTTTTTTTCTTATTTCCTTCAACAAAAAGCTTTGTTAGAGGATAACTAGGATAGGTATACATTCATTTTGATATAAGCAAATCATCAACAGCAAATTGCATAAACTAGATGTCAAGATTTGCATTCCTTCGATTTTTCTTTCCTTTTTTCTCCCGGGCGTTGGGTGTAAAAACGTACTTATTGTGTCTGTTTAATTTTACGACACAGTTTTTTATCATTATTTTTATGTACACATATACTGTTCTAACTTGGTTCGATTTCCATTCTTGACGGAGAAATCTAGAGTTTGTTTTTAATATTTCTTTAACATATTTTTTAACTTTCTTTTAACGTCACATACATCATACTCTGTACCCGTCTGGTCAGATGGTTGTTAAGTCCCCGTCAGGTTCTCCCGACTCAATTGGCTCACTCCCTAGAGTCGTTTCCCTTAACAAGTAAGTCCCCCCCTAGGAGTAGGAGTAGGTTAGATTAGGCTAGAAGTTGCCGCTAGTGAAAAAAAAAAACATACACCATACTCTAAAAAGTGATACAATATGTTATTGCATATGAGGGGGAGGAAAAAAGATTTCATGGTCACCATTTTTATCTAAATAAATCCAAGCGCATGTTTGATCATTTTTTGTAGTGTCCATGGTGGTTCCAAAGCTACTCCATTCTTACCTTAACCTAGTAGTCGATGTGCCATTATACGATTACAAGCTTCCCGGTTATGGGATGGACAGCATATACACTAACAGACATAAATATATATAACAAGTGTAAAAATTGAAATTGAGATTCAAATTCAAATTGAGATGAAGTAGTAAGTATCCATATTCGTTAATGCATCCACTTTCGATACATACAAAATTAATCCTTTTTTTTTTGTTTTACAAAAAAAGACATCATAAAAATCTCCTTATTTGCTACTACTTTGGAGACAAATTTTTGGGTACCCTCTGCTCCAGCTTCCATTTATTAAAAGTTCCACGTCCCGTTTCTATGCAATAATAGCTCTTTGAACTGTTCTCTTCTCCACCAGCTGCCAATTTGTAGGTTCCCTGTACAACAAATATATTCAAATGTTAGTGGCACCTAAAGTTTACATTATATATGACTAAGCTTTTTAGCGAGCCCAATGGAACTACACAAATTACACTAGAACCAACCTTGTAAGTCTACATCATCATATATCTTCATAGAAATACTTCTTAAAAGCATTAATATGTTCTACTTGTAGGCCCAATGGTATCAATAACGACCCATCTCCATTAGGACTAGGAATAATGAAGAGTTTTCCATCATCACCTAGTGACGCATGGGCCATGAATATTTCATCTCCCCACCCAAAATCGGCTTTGTACAAGCCCAGACCAACCCAAGTCGTAACGATCAAATTGGGATTTCCGAAGAACAACCCCTGCGGACGACCAACGGTGTGAAAATATGGACTGGTGGATACCTCCGGAATGTTCTTCATACAAACAAGATATGACCTTACATACTCATCTGTAACATTCTCTATTGCTTCCTTAATTTTGCTTGAAGCATAGCTTAGTGGCCTCGATTGGAGGTCACCTGCAATGGCTCTTGCTGGTACAGGTAAGACAGCATTTCCAAAGTACCTTCCGGGCAAGGGTAGTTTAAGCCGCTTGCGAAAATCCACAGTCACATATAGAACCGTTTCTTGGGCGGGGTTGTGCATACGGGCCTTGGATAAGCACCTCCATATATGTGCAGATACTGCTACAAACCGGCTAAAGGGCCTTTGATTGCTAGTTTTGTGAATCATCAAATCTTGGTCGTTGGCCTTGTTCCTGATCTGCTCAATTTGGTCTTTACTTAACTTAAGCATGGCACAGATGGTAGCCTTTTTACGCCCTTCCAAGCTGCTAGACCGGCCTATCAGGACGGGTAGGGGGAAAAAGTCCGAGTATTGTAATTTTGGAGCCGTTGATGATGGATGATCGTCTTCATATTTCTGAAAAATTGTTCGATCTAGAAATGGTTGATCATCAGATTTTTCACCACGTGCAATCTTTGCCCATTCGGAAACAAAATGAAACCCGCTTTGGCCGTCAGCAATGACGCGTGACACGGCCAAGCCTATAGAAACACCACCACAGGCAAACTTTGTAATTTGCACTAAAAGGAGCGGTACCTCATGAAGGGGAGTATTATTGTTATCTATAGGTGGGATCAGGGCACGGATTTGTGGCGCTGGACAGAAGTCTCCCAAATCCTGGATTTTGAGTTCAGATTGAGCTTCAACAAGTAAAGCTCCCATGGAATTGCAATGCAGCTCAACTCGGCCCCCATCTTTCGGGTATAAACGTCCAGCAAGCGGATAAAACGCCACCAAGGCTTCGCTTAGTGAGTCTTTCAAAACCTCAGTGGCATCATTCAGCAATTCTGGACTTTCTGGCTTGTAAAAATGGACGACAGTTGCATGAGTCACGGCTACACGTTGATCACACTCAGATAAAAACATTACTTTTGTAGGGATTGGTTTTGCTGGTTTGACAATGCGAGAGGCTATCAAGTTAACCATTGTGAGAAGGAAAGAGAATAATGGGTGTGAGAATTGTAAGAAGGAAAAAAGTATGGCAGCTGGGAGACTTTGTGAGAAGGAAAGGAAATTTTGAAGGTGAGATTTTGGCTGTGGTAGCAAAGTGTCGCCAGCGTAAGCTTAGGTCATCGGCAATGGTTTACACTCTCTTTAGTGTAATCCATACATCACGTCAGCATTTCACTTTTTTCTCTTTTATTATACTTTCACTCACAATGGATTACACTCCAGAAGGTGTAATAGCATGGATTCACAATTAAATCAAATATTTATTTTAATAATGCATAACTCATATCCCATAAATAAATAAAGTAATTTTTAAAAATAATTTTGTTATTTTTAAAAAATAAAGTATTAAATTTCATTAAATTTTTTACCTTTTGAATCTTTTATTTTCTACAAATAATATTATTAATTTCTAAGTTTGAATAATACATCTTTTTCTATCTCTCAAAAATAATATATTGTTATTTTTTGAAAAATAATTATGCAGAACATTAAACAAATACGTGATACCTCAAATGAATGTTGGAAAAAATGGACTCCACAATTGAAAAAAAAAATGAACGTTGAAAACGGCTAGTTTGCTGGGCAAAATTTTTCCAACGGCTTACACGGCCACCAAACCTTAAGCTGTCAGACATTACACCGCTTATTTCACGCGGTTGAAGATGCTCTTATATAGACTCGAGATTTATAGTATATCACACGAAAATTGTGAAGGCTCTGCTAATATATTTTACAAAAGTATTTTGGTTGTTGCAATTATAGTATATATCTTACCACACTCACAAGGAATTACTAAAGAAAAGTGTTCAACGAAATATTCAAGAACCAATTTGGTTCATCTCATTAGACGCAAAAAGCGAGACCTTTTCCTGTGTCTCTTTCGGTCATTACAAAACCACGATACTTGTGCCCCTTATTTAATCCACCAAGACGTATTTCGCTCAATTATGTACTTAGAAGTTCAACAAGGAGAAAAATTCAAGTAAAAACTGGTTTGTTTGTGTATGGTTTTAATGGAACCTCATAATAGGAGCAAGTGTAATTTTTGATGTTTTGGTCCCAAGTTACTAGGCATGTAAACAAAACTAATCAAAATGAGCTAGTTGGCATGTTTGTTTATTTTAACAAGTATAGAATTTTGATTTACATTTGACTTGTTAATTGTTCGAGTCTCAAACTTTTTAGGAAGTCAACTTCTAGTAACTTAAACTCCTTATAGATGAATTTCAAGTTTCATCAGTGTCAAATCAATTTTGAAATCTTAATTACTACTAATTCAAGCTCACGTCCAACAGCATTAGTTGACAAACCAATTTTGAATGAGCTTGATTGAATAATCAATAACTTTGATTTGTATTTGAGCTAGATAATGTATTACTACTAATTCAAGTTCACTCAAACTGTTTTGTTGCCCAAAAAAATCCACTTACTTTTTAATTTTTATTTTAATTTTTATTTTTTAGATTGGAAAGCAACACTCAATATTTTTATTTTGGGAAAAGTTTACTTTGCAGAATGTGTAGAGAAAAACCAACCAAAAAAAAGTGCCATAGAGAGAGAGAGAGAGAGAGAGAGAGAGAGAGAGAGAGAGAGTGTGTGTGTGTGTGTGTAAATAGAAATTTGCAATATTCATTTCAAAGAAATTCTTTTGCCAACTTGATTAAATAGAAACTTAGTGTATTCTTTTCAGGAATTTATCCTTTCATTTATTTTGAAAACTTTTCAATAAAATAAAATTTCGACAAAAGTTTACGACTTTGTGAAATATAAAGATATATTATTTGAACAACATAGGATGTGACAAATAATTTCTTGAATTGCCTTAAGGGTTTATTAGTTCTTGAATCCTTAAATATTTGCATCGTTCTTCATTCAATTGTAAGCTATAGATTTATCTTCACATTCATCCTACATATACAACAAAAAGGACTTTTGGTTTCATTTTTGGGAAGTTCTTCCTCCGTCTCCTAAAGGGCCTTTTTAGTACTTTGGCATGCAAATGTAAATCATTCATTCAGCTTGAAGTACAACCCTTAAATTGGGATTGTCAGTGTAGGTTACTGATTTACCCTTTATCAATTCATTGTACCTGTTTAGTCCTATGGGCTTTGGCTTTGAACTGTTTCCGGTCAAATATGTGTGAGTGTTTGGTTAGGCTTTTCACCATAGTAGTGAATAGGGGTACAAACGAGTCGAGTCGAATCGAGTTTTGAATTTATCGAGTCGAGTTACACTTATTTATACACGAGCTCGTCGAGCTCGAAGAATAGAGCTCGAGCTCGGCTCGATATAGGAAAAGGAAAACTCGAGATCGACTCGTTTATGGCTCGCGAGCTTAGCTCGAATTCTGGCTCGCGAATAGCTCAAGTTTCGCTTGATTTTTTGGCTCACATGAAGCTCAAAGGCAGCTCGATTTCTAGCTCGTTAGGAGTTCAAGTTCGAACTCGAAAACAGCTCGAAAATTTCTGGAAATTTAAGCAAGAAAACAGCATTTTTGTCCCCATATTTTTGACAAAATTTGAGCATGATAACAACAATTTTTCACATATTCTTGATCTTGAGGCCTACAAATTATGCACTAATACAATCATAAATATCCAAATATCCACTAATACAAATTATCCAAAAATATCCAGATATCCACTAATACAAATTATCCAAATGTCCACAAATATCCACTAATACAAATTATCCAAATGTCCACAAGAATACCAGCTTGTGGCAAGGCATGACATGAAGCGAGAATTAGTCCACCAACTCCAACTCCAGAAAATTCCTAAAGGTTAAAAGAGTCATAAGAAAAACGATTTGGCCAAAATGCAAAAGAAAAAAAAGGAGCATTCTCTAGTCCCAAAACAGATTACTATTACTAGTAAACAAGTTAGTAGCAGTAATTATTTTCAAGAAACAAGAGGACAGCAAGTCTCATGGTATACATTTGTGCTATAGCATGGGAATAGACAAAATCTGGTACAACCAGTTACATTTCCTAATAGAGTTGGATGATGATGTAGTTGTAGTATATCTTTTGTTGTGGATGCTACTTGTGTTTTATTTTCCTTTCGGATTTCCAGGAATTATTTGAGGGTTACTACTTTTGTCAAGCTCAAAGGGAGGATTTCTTTCAGCGAGCAAAGCCTTATAAGGGACATCCAACAATTCTAATAGAAATGATGAAGCAGCTTGTTTTAATAGAAATGAGTTATTTGCTTCACATTCATTGACATTCCTTATGCAATATTTTATGCATAGTGTGCTTCTCAGAATGCAAAAGCTTACTATGAAATTTTAGTTCTCCAAAATTAAAATGCGCAATTTTAGTTCCTAACAAATAAAAAGTGTTCTCTTTAGTTCCAACAAATTTTAGTTCTGTGGACAAAGATTCATTTGCAATCCTGTTACTCATGATAGCATCATATCCTAGAAAACCAAAACTTGGTACGAGGAAAGCTAAAGAACTTCTTATATTCGAGAATTACAGGGATGTAACATCTGATACATAAATTACAGAATAAATGGGGTAAAATGCAAACTATCATCAAGACAGTATCAAAAAGTGTGACATGGGATTTCATTTACCCCTTGGTATTACTACTTGAAAGCAGAGCAAAGTGGATCACCTTCTAGATTCCAAAGAAAAAGGAAAAGGAAAAGAAAAAAAACCTCAGTACATACCTGCAAAATCTAGGGAGAAAATCCAATGGACTGATCTGAGGATGTTGGACACGGTAGGGAGTGGTGGAGATGGGCTTAGCGGGTTGCACACTTGCGACGCTGGAAAAGCTTAGACAAAGCTCGGAGATGGGAATGCGCCGAGAAGCTGGTTGAGTTCGGAAAGCCCGTCAGTCAGCCTCGCGGGAGAAAAAGAGGGAAAGCTGGTTGGGATCACCTTCCAGATCCTCGTCCGTCAATGGGTTGCGCACTCAGATTCTTGCATGGCTTGGAGGTTGCTCAAGTGGTGCTGGCGGAAGTGATAGAGATGGAGCTAGCAGTAGCAGCGATGGCAGTGATAGAGTGAAAATTGGGAGTTTGGGACAGTCGGTCGGCAGAGGAAGAAGATCGATCGAAGGAAGTGAGGAAGGAGTGAGCAGAGAAGTTAACCTAATCAAAGAAAGGAGTAAAGTTTAGACTACAGTGTATCAGAAAAAGATCGATTATAGCTTAGACTATAGTGGCCGAAGATCGATTATAGCTTGAGTCCGAGTGTGCAGAGAAATTGTAAATTTTAATTGATTCAGAGATATTTTTATAATTTCATATTTATTTGAGCCCAACGAGCAGCTCGTCTAGCTATCGAACCTAAAAAATGAAGGCTCAAGCTCGTCTCGTGTATCTCAACGAACGGCTCGAGAACACGAGCTCGAGCCGAGGCCTAGTAGTGAGCCAATATCCCGTGTGACATGTACTTTGTTATCAGACCCCGCTTTTGTTTTGGGTTACGTGTACTGTGGATGCATCTACTTTGGTTATCAGACTTTTATTAATATTATCACATGTACTTATGTGACAAGGCCCGTTGCTGCCCTTTCACTACAAAGTACAAACAGCTATGGCATCGCATCTGCTGCTACCAAATGTGGGTACATAACCCCCTACGCTTCCCACGGTTTTCAATCTTGGGATTAGGTGATAAAAGATATGGTCTGGCGGAGGAGTCCAGCACTGCGTTTGATAGGGTATTATTTAAAATAATTTTTATAATATTTTTATAATATAATATATATAAAATAAAAAATAATTAAAATATATAAAAAGAATTAATTTTTTCTACACTGATAATATATATATTATCAACGTTGGATAAATGACAACTATATAAAATTTGAATTTAAAATTTTACTTTTATATACATGTCATAAATCTAACGATGATAATATATATACTATCAGTGAAAATACGATTTACTCATTAAAAAATATATTAATGATATAAACGAAATATTATATAAAATAAGTTAGCTATCAGATTTCTAGGGCTCGTGTCGGATTTCTTAATTTTCTTTCCATAGTTCATCGTTGCTTCAACCGTCATGACCATTTCTTCATTCTTAGTTTTTTTCCTCAGGTATTTCTTTCTCTGTCATCACTATTCTCGGAAACCAAATTTTTCCTCTGCCCCTCTTCTTCTTCTGAGTTTTTCTTCTTCATCTTTTAGTTAATGTGTAATGGTTTTACTGATCATTACCTCTAAATCTCTTATGCTTTTGTTTAAATTATCTAATTTTTTCCTTTTTGTTTGTCTCTGATTCTCTTATTTTTTTTCCCCTTCCCTATTTTGTTGATTGTAATTCATTGGAGTAGGGCTTCTTTTCTGCTTTTTACCTTCATTATTATGCAAAAAAGATAGTGAGATATACAATTTTAGCGTTTAATATGCTCGTTGGAATGGAAAGCTATATTTTTTATTTTCTGATAATTATTTTAGCATTTATGATTTTTGGTGGTTGTAATAAAATCTTGGTAGATTGAGTTAGAAAACTATTCCTTGGTTTTGATTCCTTTCCACATGCTTCTAATTTTTTTTGCTATCTGGAGAAAATTTAATCTCTATGCCTAATAATCAAAGTTTTGCAACTCTGATTTATGGTTGTGATTTCTTGCTTTATAAAATGTTCATGTGGCTTTGTCAAAGCCTGTGCTCTGACGAATTGTTGTCTGACAAATGCTTTTGTACTCAAACATATGTTATTTTTGAAAACATATTATTATGGTTTCCACATTTGTATCGCTGTTGTTTTGTCATTTGCTTTGCTTACTCTTCTTTTTGGGGGGCCCCCTTAACTGGGGATAGCTGACGTCATAGTTGTTCTCGTCTCGGGGGAAGTGGAACTACTTTCACCAGAGAAAATGAGCTAGTAGGGTAGAATGCCAATAAGGGGAGCGGGGTGTGGGAAGTAGAATAAGAAAAAGTGGAATATCAATAACGTCCGACATATTTTTAAAACTGCATAAATATTTTTTTAATGTAAATCTATATATATACATGTTGAAAGAGCCATAAGCAAAGATTCAGGACTGAAAACATCTACTTTTTTTTTTTTTTTTTTTTTTTGTATACGTCCCAATATCTAGCGACCGCATTGAGTTCCAACTAATCAAAATTCGAATATTGTCATATTCTTTTTGAGGATGATTATCTCAACACTATTTTCTCTATTCACAAAATTCGAATCCATAGTTATTGGCATTTCATTTGCTTCATGCACGTTTAATAATTTAATAATACTTTACTACAGGAAGGGTAGAATACCAATAAGGAAAACTGGAATATTGTCCGTCATATTTCTAAAACTACATATATTTCATTTGCAGTGCATTAGAAAATTTAAAGTTAGACAAATAAATAGCATTGGAGAGATACCTAGCTACAATATATTTCTAGGAGATGTTATTAATTAAAAGTTCACCTACAAAAAACGACACTGTAAATCACGACATTACTAAATGATAGATATAAATATGAGAATTCTTAAAATCAAAAAGATGAATTATCTTTTAATTTGTTTCTGTCATTTAGTCGCAATGTCACTTGGTGTTGAAATTTTTGTTAATTAAGCAGCTAATATATCACTTGGCACTTTTATATGCATTGTAGAAGTTAATTATCTCTGTGCATATAGCTTCTAAATTGTCAGGCTGATTGCTTCAGCCAACTTGAAAGTTTATACATACTTCAATTTCCAAATAATTACCATGCCATATAAAGGTTGAAATATGGCCAGCCCTGCCTAGTGTTAGCATACATGATTTGGTTTGACAATTCTTCCAGGTTTTAAAATGCTCAAGGATTGTATTAGTACATAAGTAGTGGGATCATGATGATAAGTAGTGGACCCATCTTACATAAGAAAATGCATTTTTCCATCCTACGTAAGTAGTGGTATACCATGATACCATCAACACAGAAAACCGTCACGTGTAACATATTGAAAAGGTCATACTAGCTATCACAGGGAGTAAAAGTCTCCTCGTTTGCTACTACCTTAAGAGACAAATATTTTATTCCGTCTACTCCATCTTCCATATCTGAAAAGATCCACGTCCCGTTTGCCTGCAATAATTGCTCTTCAAACTGTTCTCCAGCAGCTGCCAATTCGTTGGTTCCCTGTCCGACAAATAAATTCAAATGTTAGTGGCTGTGCATAATGTTTACTCACATATGACTAAGCTTTTCAGTGAGCCCCATGAACTACACAAACTACATTAGAACCAACCTTGTAAGTCTGCAGCATTATATATCTTCGTAGAAATACTTCTTAAAAGCATTAATATGTTCTACTTGCAGGCGCAGTGGGATAATCAACGATCCATCCCCATTAGGACCAGGAATAAGGAAGAGTCTTCCATCATAACCTAATGACCCAGGGGTCATGGAAATTGCTTCTCCCCACCCAAAATTGACTTTGTACACGTCCAGCCCAACCCAACTCGTAATAAGCAAATTGGGATTTCCAAAGAACAACCCCTGTGCACAACCAACAGTGTGAAAATGTCGACTGCAAGATACCTCGGGCATGTCCTTCATACAAACAAGATATGACCTTACATACTCATCTGTAACCTTGTCTATTGCTTCCTTAATTTTGCTTGAAGCATAGCTTGGTGGCCTCGATTGGAGATCACCTGCAATGGCTCTTGCTGGTACAGGTAAGACAGCATTTCCAAAATACCTTCCGGACAAGGGTGGTTTAAGCCGATTGCGAAAATCCACAGTCACATATAGAACCGTTTCTTGGTCGGGGCTGTGCATACGGGCCTTGGATAAGCACTTCCATATATGCGCAGATACAGCTACAAACCGGCTAAATGGCGGATGATTGCTAGTTTTGTGAACCAAATCGTGGTGGTTGTTGACGTTGTTCTTGAGCTGCTCAATTTGTTCTTTACTTAACTGAAACATGGCACAGGTAGTAGCCTTTTTACGCTCTTCTAAGCTGCTAGACTGGCCTATCAGGACGGGCAGTGGGTAAAAGTCTGGGTATTGTAATTTTGGAGCTATTGACGATGGGCACTCTTCATATTGTTGAAGAATTGTACGATCTAGGTATGGTTGATCATCAGATTTTTCACCGCGTGCAATCTTTGCCCATTCGGCAACAAAATGACACCCGCTTTGACCGTCCACAATGACATGTGACACGGCCGAGCCTAAAGAAACACCACCACAGGCAAACTTTGTGATTTGCACTAGAAGGAGCGGTACCTCATGAAGTGGAGTATTATTGTAATCTATAGGTGGGATCAGGGCACGGATTTGTGGAGTTGGGCAAAAGTCTCCAAAATCCTCGATTTTGAGTTCTGATTGAGCTTCAAGAAGTAAAGCACCCATGGAATTGCAACGCAGCTCAACTCGGCCTCCATCTTTCTGGTATAAACGTCCAGCAAGAGGATAAAAAGCTGCCAAGGCTTCGCTTAATGAGTCTTTCAAAACCCTAGTGGCATCTTTTAGCAATTCTGGATTTTCTGGCTTGTAAAAGTGGACGGTGGTTGCATGAGTCAAGGGTTTACATTGATCACACTCAGATAAATACATTACTTTCCTGGGGATTGGCCTTGCTGGTTTGACAATGTGAGAGGCTATCAAGTTAACCATTGTGAGAAGGAAAGAGAATAATGGGAGTGAGGGTTGTAAGAAGGAAAAAAGTTTTGGTAGACTTTGTGAGAAAGGAATTTTGAGGGTGAGATTTTGGTTGTGGTAGTAAAGTGCCGCCAGCGCACGCTTATATAGACCCGAGATTTGTACTACATCACATGTGAAACTTGTGTAGACTCTGCTAATATATTTACGAAATATTCAACGAAATATTTTACGAAAGGATTCCGGTCAAATTTTTGTGGGTGTTTGGTTACCATGTGATTGCTTTGGTTAGGCTTTGTCAAAGCTTGTGTTCCGACAAGTTATTGTCAGGCGAATACTTTTGTACCCTAAAGCCCCTGCAGGGCAGCTTGGTCAATCATGTAATTCTACTTTAAAAATTGATCAGTGTTCGAGTCTCGTAATTATCGTGCTTTGAGTGGGTTGAGGTGCTCTCTTCCGAGCCACAGGGGATTAGTCGGGTCGAAAGCCTAAATATCCCAGTGTCATAAAAAAAATTATACCCTAAAACATTTTATTTTTGATCTTCTATTTCAGGAGACTATGATACTATTATGGTCTCCACATTTGTATTGCTGTTGTTTTCAATGACGGAGCCAAGGGGGGGCAGAGGGGGGCCATGGCCCCCCCTAAGTTTTGAGAATTTTAATTCATAATATGTAAATATGTGTGTAAAATAAAATTGGCCCCCCCCTAAATTTTTACAATTTTAGTTTACATTATGAGAGTTTATATATATATATATATATATATATATATATATATATATATATATATATGAATTAGTCATCTTTGAATGGAATGGCTTGCAAACTTTAATTTACCATGAATGTCCATATGCCTGTTACATTCATTGTTTGGCTCATAGGCTTCAATTTGCTTTAGTTGCAGCTTCTAGAGAAGTAGCTTCTGTTCTCCAATTCTTCTCCAATTTAGTTTTCATTATCAACATTGTTACTACATCTAGCAAACATAATGATGAATTAAAGATGGCTCAAGCAATTGAAGTTGCTACTAAGATTGCTAATGGTGAACTTGAAACTGGAAGGGGGCTTAATCAAATTGGCACTTTAAAACAAGCTAGAGATACTCATTGGAGTTCTCATTTGGATTCTATTTCTAGTTTACTGAAAATGTTCAATGCTACTTGGGTGGTTTTAAGTAACATTGCAGTAGATGGAGGTTCATACTCTCAACGTGGAGATGCAAATTTTGTTTTGAATCAGTTGTTATCTTTTAAGTTTGTTTTCACTTTGCATCTTATGAAAGACATTGTGGAAATTACTCATCTTTTTTGTATAGCATTGCAACGTAAATCTCAAGATATTTTGAATGCAAAGTATCTTGTCTCAAGCACAACAAAGCTACTAAAGAATTTTCGAGATTCGGGATGGGATGATTTCTTGGTGAAAGTTAAATTATTTTTTGAGCAACATCAAATTGATATCCCATGTATGAATGCTCAATATATTGCAAGACGTGGTAAATCTCGAAGTCATCATGATTAGATTAGTGTGGAGCATTATTATCAAATGGATATATTTCTTGCAACAATTGATTATCAATTGCAAGAGTTACATAGCAGGTTTAATGATCATACCGTGGAATTGTTTGTTTTGAGCACTGCTTTAGATCCTAGAAATGGATTTATGCTGTTCAAGATTGATGATATTTGTAAACTTGCAGAGAAGTTCTATCTGAATGATTTTATGGAGCAAGAACTAGTACGTCTAAGAATAGAACTTCAACATTTTGAACTTGACATTCCAAATCATCATGAATTGCAAGAATTATCTGGTATTATGAGTTATGTCAAGACTTGGTGAAGAAAAGAAAATCAGTGATATATTCTCTTATTGATAGATTGATTAGACTTGTTCTTACTCTTCCTGTATCAACTGCAATTACAGAGTGGGCATTTTCAATTATGAAAATAATCAAGACAAAGCTCCAAAACAAGATGGAAGATAATTTCTTGAATGATTGTCTAACTGTGTATATAGAAAAGGAAGTTGCTGAAAAATTTAGCAGTGATTCAATCATAGATGAATTTAGTTCTATGAAAGAGCGTAGAGCTCAATTTATTTCTAAGAAAAGATATTGAAATTTCAAAGTATGTTAACATAACTTTTATCTTTTTTCAATTGAAAATAGTTACATTTATATTACATGGTTATTTATATATTGCATAGGTGACATATTAGAGAGCATCTTCTCATAATGTGCAAATTGGATGGTTTGTGATGTTATAAGATATTTAATCAAAGGTTATCTTTTTTGTTATGACTGTACCGCATATTTATGAATAGACGTACCTTTATAATTAAATTTAATATTTGATATTTTTAGATGTCATATATTTAAATAGAAGAAAATTATTTTGAACATAATATATTAAGATAATTTTATTAGAAAAAAATTTTGGCCCTCCCAAAAAAAAATTCCTGGCTCCGTCACTGGTTGTTTTGTCGTTTGCTTTGCTTGCTCTTTTTATTTTTTGGGGCCCCTTGGATGGGGATAGCTGATGTCATAGTTGTTCTCGTGGGAAGTAGAACTACTTTGAGAGAAAAAATTTTAAAAAAAATCAATGGTTTTTTTATTTTGGAAAGTCAGGTGACCCCTCTCGTCTTTTTTTTTTTTTCAAACAATAATAATATTTATATAATCTAATTTATTATATTCTATAGAAAAGGGGAGTCTAAAGAGGCTGTATAAAAAATTAGTAGGTATGCAGATCTGACTAGATCAAAGGGGTGTTCTATCATCTTTTTTAAATTTTTTCAAAATAAGTGGAATTCAAACCTCTGACCTACAACTCAAATAGGAATTTAGTCCCTTTTTATTGCCACTGAAGCTCAGTGGTTGACCCCTCTCTTCATTGTGTGCATGATGGAAAGGTTCACAACTTAATTAGGCCGGGATATCAGCACAGCAGTTTTAAACAAACATTTTCTAGCAAGCAGTTTAAATATTTTCTAGAGAAAAGATATGCTTGGTATGACTCATGAGATGCTTGAAAGATTGGAGGCAAACTTGAAGGCGAATGGTTTTCTCAAGTTCACGATGCGATGGTTTGCGCTCATTTCCATGTTCCCATGCTAGAAGATGAAAGCTCGCACAACGCGCGGGAATTGGGTGCCTCTATTTAAAATGTTTTAAATAATTTTTAAGAAAAATATAATAAAATTGAGAAAATAGAATGTATTGCAGATATAAGTTTTTTTAAAAAAACATGTATTTAAAGTAAGTATCATATCAATTGAAATAGAATTACCCATAAACAAATCATTTTATACTCTACATAAAAATAAAGTTAATTTCTAAATGCACATAGTATTTCTTCTACATACGTTAATTAAGAAACTAGAAGGAAATGTCAAAAAGGCTAACTGAATAACATAATAAGAAAACATCCAAAGTTGAAGCTATAATATATTACTTTTTATTATTTAACATCAACATAACAAACGAGAGCAAAAACTTTTTTTTATGTCAAATAGATAATTCTCATCCTTATACTACAACTCATTATAAGATTAAAAAAGTTTTAACCCTTAGTTTTGTTCTTAGCCAGTTTTATCTTATCCACATCAAATTTGACAAACCTGACACTCAAAAAGAAAGAGTCAACCTTGTAAAGCTGAAAAGTATCACACAAATAATTTGGAAGTATTAGACAATCTATCTTAACTATGATCGAGGAAGTCCCTAAGTTTTTTGTCCACATAGAATCCAAAATCCAAGCAAGTTGATGCCTAATATATTTTTGGTCTCGTCAAGCATGATGTGGATTGGAGCATAGAATTTATAATTGTTCTGATCAATAGGAAAATAGAACATAACATGATCCAAAAACAGGATTTTTAGAAGGAAATAAATTTATGAGTTCATATTGATGGAAATCCATTGAGAACTAATAACTTGAAGTTAAGAGCTAGCTCATAGAATTTATTGAGGATAATTTTTGCACTTTTGCCTCTCCTAAAGCAATCGGTAACGTCAGCACCAAATTTGTTGCATTGGACAAACAAAAATGAGTAAAACTTCTTTGGGAGTTCTTTTTTTTTTTTTTTTTTTTTTAGCAAATTGTCATCTGTATTTTATCTGCCAGGCAAACTATGTTGTAATAAGTACCATATAATAGTAACTGGAAAAAAGAAAAGGCAAGGATTTCAGCATGCTAGTCATGAAAAACTAGCTTCAATTTGCATTATACATCAGCGGAAGTAATCACATACTCATGATTTGATCTTAACCCCGTGAATCCTTCTCACATAATAGATCATGTAACTGAAAAGGATCATGGAAGTCTCAAAAGGTTTCAGTCTAGACGACGCAGAAGATATTCCACTTCAACATGTTTGGTCAGAGGCATGACCCACTCTCCATATAGGCAAGGAAGAACAGATGGATCGATCTTGCACTTTCCATTGCCAGCATCGTTGGTGAGGTTCACTTCTTGCCCAAACACCTTTGCTTTCTTCTCCACCCTCTTCTTCACCATCTCCTCGACACTTTCAAATGTCAAAAGCTTCATCAGAGCATCTCTATCCTTGGCTTGAATTGCAGGTGAATATTCTTCAGAAGCATCCTTGAATTTTACCTCAGCAACAAATTTTCCATAGTGAATCCTTCTAGAGAGTACCCAACTTCTTTGGGAGTTCAAGGTGTCTATTTCATAATGCATTCTTGAAAGGAATAAGTGACATATTGTCACAATTTAACTCTAAAGAGAATGCACTTCACACTCTCTTGAAAGATTCACACTATAAGAAAATGTGAAAATTTGTTTCTACTTTGATAGCACATCTCAATTGTAATGGTAAAATACAATAGAAAAACACCCTCATGTGAAAAGAGCTTATTTGGTAGATCAACCCCATCACGAAACCAAAAATGAGAAGAAATTGTACACATAAATTGGAGTTGGAAGCCACAGGTAGAAAGTGGTTAATGATATTTCCCAATATTTGCTTGCAGATGCAGTATTTTCACTACTAACCCTGCAATGATGATCAAACATTCACTATATATTTCAAAAATTCCATATGAATAATGAAATTGCTAGTGGAAAACAATCATACACAGAATTCTGTGAAAGCAAGCAAATGAAAATGTGGTGGAACAGAAAATACCTCGTTGGAAGGTTGTACTAAAGTGAAGGGAGTAGTTAAATCAGCAAAATTCTAATTTATCACAACTTTGATACAATTAAATCGGAAATAAAGAAGATAAATTGGAACAAATTGGCCGTGATTGTGATAATGATCATCCAACATAAAGTTTCATAATAATTTGCATTAATTTTACCTTTATATCTTTCCTTCAAATTGGCTTTTTCACCCTTATAAGAAACACAAAGAAATATATGACTTTAGAAAAAAAATTGGAAAAGACAAGAAACTGATCTTAGTTTTATAGAGTAATATACATAACTGGCCCAATTTAAGGTTAGGAAGAAGAAAGATCCTACATTCGTAAATGTTGGGGAAAAATGGAAGAGCAAGAAGCAAATGGATAAATGTGTAAATAATTAGAAACAATTGTTACTTAAATAATAATTAATTCAATTGATTGTAGGTTATGGGGGATAAAAAGAAAGAATTTTGATTAGTTGAAGTTTATTAATTAGCTCCGAGGTAGCGGGGGTTGAGACAATAATGATGAGTCCATTAGGAACTTGAAATAATGGTATGTTGAACAAAATTCTTTCTTTATTCATGCTATGCTCAATATCCAAGGATCACAGGATTATGCAGCGGGATCTTTCCTCAAAATCAAAATCAATAAGCATGCCAAAAGAGGGAGATTTTTCACAAAAAAGAAAACAATTAGTCATACCTGGAATAAAAGATGCCCGATTATCAAAACCCAAAGGCAACAGCTATTATGCAATAACAAAAAGAAATAAAAGAGGAAGAAAAACCAATGCATATTATCATAATGTTATTAAGAGGTAATTATATGATAATTAGAGAGATTCTAGTTTCCCTTAACCGTTATATCTTTACTTCACATAATGATCAGGATATTGCAATTTTAATTACCAATTCAAAATGACATAAAATCCACGAAGTTGTAGAACCTTTGAGTGTTAATTGCCATATCAAATGGCAAAGTAATTTCACACATAAATAGTGTACTAATTAATTAAATGTCACATGCATAATCACACATTCAAAGCACAAGCAAGATAATACTGCCAAGTTAACAAAATTTCATGCTTCCATTATTTGTATTCTAAGTTTCACCACATATCAATACCTACTTTAAAATACAAACATAACCCTTAATGCAGTTGAAATTCAAAGATGAGTTTGACTAAAACTCAATCTTATAAAGTACAAGGATATTGTTTAAAGATTAGTGTACAGTATGGTTTGATAGTCCAAGACATGGGGCTGAACAGTTATCAGAAAAATCGTTTGGTAGTTCAAGACACGGGACTGTTGGACTACGGGACTGAACAGTTATCAGAAAAATCGTTTGGTAGTCCAAGACACGGGGCTGAGCAATTATCAGAAAAATCGTTCGAGTTGATTTTGTGTAAAATACATAAAACATAATTTTGTATTCATAAAGTGTAACTTACTTTCAATAACGTATAATTACAGAATAAAATTTTATAAGTTTCACGTATAATATAAAAAAATAATGTATAAAATACAATCTAGACTAGAGCTGCAAACGAGCCGAGCCGAGTCGAGTTTTGAGGTAATTGAGCTGAGCCTCGACTAAATTTTACCAAGCTCGAGCTCTAGCTCGAGCTCGACGAACTGGCAATTTTCGAACTCGAGCTCGACTCGAATCAAGTCGAACCGAACTTGAGCTCGAAAAAAATAAAAAAAAATTATTTTATTTTTTAAAAAAATAAATAAAATAATATTTTTTTCTGAATAAATAATAAAATACTAAGGATATATCCGTAATTTCACTATGAAAATAAAAAATAAAAAATATATATATATAATATACTTAATTTTATTATTAAATAAAAATAAAAAATATATATATACTCAAACTCGCGAGCCGGCTTGCAAGCTAACGAACTTATATTCTGAGCTCGTGAGCGGCTCGATTCGTTTGCAACCTTAATCTAGACCTTACATTTTTTTTTTTTACCAAATTTTGACAATAAACATTTAGAAACAGTTGCTACCCTCCTCTAATACTCTCTACCATTTTTGAGGTAAAAAGCTGACACAATTGTACTTGGTATTCTGCCGCACGTCAACTCAAATTGTTCTCGTTAATTGCGTCAACTACTAACAAGTTGCCTTTTTACTTCCCCAACTCTGCCCACCATAACAAAACAAACGGATTATTTCCGAAACTCTCATGAGATTTTTTACAATTTTACTGAGTTCCTCTAAAATTTAAAAAATTATATATATCTCTCTTATTATTTAAAATAATAATTTTATTCTCAAATATTTTATGAAATTCTCTTATTTGATATTGCTTGTATTTAGAATGAGTTTTAAAATTATTTTTTCATTTTTTTCCTTCTTATTCCTTTTTTTTAAATTTTTCGCCAATAAAACTGTAAAACTACCACTATTGCCTCTAGGTTTCTATTATAACCAAATGTCAAGCTAGTAATTTTTTTTTTGACGAGTTAATTTTATATGTAATCCAATGTTTTTGCTAATATTTGTTTTCTATTTTTTGGTATTAAAATTAACAATAAATCAAAAGGAAATGACCCAAAAGCACTACTAAATTATGATAATCTCACTCTTCCAAAAACTTATAAATTCTAAATGAATTATTTCAACATTTTCTTTTTAGTCTTATAAATCTAAATTCATAATAAAATACCATTAAAAATGTCATATCATAGTAATAAAATTATTATTATAGTTGTTTATTAAATAATAGATATGAACATGAAAAATTTGATATCTTTTTCTTATAATTATACTAAATAATCCTATAATTGTATAGAAAAATAAATTAAACTCATTCCACAAGAGTATTTTTGGGTGTTCATTTAAAAAATTGTTCAAGTCAATATTGTTTTGAAGTTTTGTTAGTAAAACTATCAAAATAAGGGAGATAAGTGTAATTTTTTAAACCTTAAGGAATCTCAGTAAAATTGTTAGAAATCGCAGGGAGATTTCTGAAATTATTCCCAAAACAAAAGCTCTGCAGTTTCTGTCCTCTCAATCATCTTTATGTCCATTCAATCTGCGTCTTACAAAAGCCTTTCTAATCAAGTTTTACATTTATAAACTCCTAAACACCCCACACGCGATTTATCGCAAGTATACGAATCGTGAGCGAGTATAGGGTATTAAGGGTCGATCCCACAAGGAAGATTGCAATTACTGGTACTACTAAAGCTTTTCTATTATTTAGACTATCAATAAATTATAACAAATTTTACCTACTCAAATTATACAAAATAACAAACAAAAGCTCCTTAGGTTGTGGTATCCCTAACTACTCATGCAAGTGTTATATTTGGATCATTGAGTACTACATCTAAGCTAGTTATGGTGTAATTTCCTTATGCATTTGAATCCTACTTTCGTAGTGAACTATACTCATAACTAATCCATACCTATTTTCATGGTTATGAAATTAGCTACAAGTTCATTTCTTTAATGAAATTACATGATGTGAATCACTAAAAACCACATAGATGCACCTCTACTTCCGTGAGTGTACTCCCTATGTTTAGCACTTCTTGAACTAGTGTTAAATCTCAATTTTCATTGCAGAAACAACACCTTAGATAATCACAATTAATGGTACCAGATTAATCATGATTTAAAGAGCCAAAGTGCTAAATAACTTGCTCAAATCATAGCAATCAAATAACCAAATAATAAACACTAACAATTATAGAAAGTTCAACCAAACCCAAGGTATAAACTTTAAAAACACATATTACACACAAAATCCAGAACTTGTATATTAACTAAACTTGGAATCAAATACAAAAGATAAAGAGTTTGGAAGGAATACAACCCTTGTCACATGAGCTTTCTTCCTTGCCTTCTTCATCCTCCATCTTCATCCTAATCTAGATAATAAACAAGAATGGATGAACTATACTACTCTATACTAAGCTAAACTAATACTAGGAAGATGAAAGAGCTACATTTCTGCAGACTCCAAGCTTCTCCCGTATGTCTCTCTATCTCTTACTCTATCATCCCCTCCCTCCATTTTGCAATGAATTTGGCTATTTAATGATGAAAGGTTGGTCAAGAAATGATGTTTTCAACTCCCTTTTACAGTTGGGAATGTTTCTCACATGTCTAGCATCACATGTGAGTTGGTGGAGGTGAAATTGAGTTTTACGCGTATAAAGCAGACTTTTCTGACCAGTGATCTGAGCTTCTACAGTGCCTCGGATCCGTATGGATCCGAGCTCGGATCCACTAACCCAGAAACAGCCGAGGGTTCGGATGAATAGTGGATCCGAGTGTGGATCACTTGCTCTGTTTTTGGCCCAACTTCAACCGATCTTTTCTTGATGTTAGAGGCTGAACCAGCTCATGCCTAAAACACGAAAGTTGTAGCCTTTTGATTTATCTTTCCAATGCATCAAGAATCACCTCATTTGGATCTGTGTAGGCAGAGATATGACTGAAATACCCTTGCCTGCTCCATGCCTTGTTCCAATTTCGACCAATAACAATTGACTCTGTACTTCGGCTTTTTTTGACCTGGAAA